AGAAGACAGTCCGGAAATGTCCGGTGTACGGGTCCGGGGTTACCATGCTTTGAACGATATGTGCATCTCCAATGCATCTATATTCCGTGCTGTACCCCTCCAACAATCCAGTGTGCAACACTCCCCGTCTTTCCCTGGATGAGTCGATGACAGGTGGCCAGCCCTTTTTTTTTTTTTTTTTGAAAGCCCTGTCACAAGTCCACTATCCTGGTCGTGGTAAGAGAACTGCCGGGATTGACGTCTTGCCCTTCATGCTCCTCATCATGCAAGGCATCCAGCCATCTGCACAATTTCAAAAGATTATCAGTGATGGCTGATAACACGATTAACAGGATGGCTAAGATCAAGTGTAGTATCTGTTCTGAACAGTTTAATATCTGATCTGCGGTCCATCGGGCCATTAAAAAAAAAAAAGAAAGAAAGTATGGCAGAGAGTTTTACATTTATCAGTGGTCCATTATCAGTGGTCCATCGGGCCATTTAAAAAAAAAAAAAAAAGAAAGGATGGCAGAGAGTTTCACCTTTCAACAGAAAATGGATTTCCACACTGTCTGCGGAAAATAGCACTGCAGTAGAAGCGCAAATACAATGATGCGAACGCCAGGCTCATTGAAGCCTTCGCACCTTTGAAGAAATCTGTGAAATGTTTCAAGGGTCACTCATGCAACTGGCAATACTCAGAACAGGGTTGAAGGGGACAATCTCATAATCAGAGAGAAGACAGTACAAACTTCAAAATGTACTCTCACCTCTAAAAACGTTGCCGCAACCTCAACGACCTTCTCTACAAGCTCTCTCTGTCTGTCTTCATACTCATCGGTCAATTTCTGAAACTGCTCACTTAGCTTGCGAAGATTCTGAGAGGGGCCATCCAAGAGGAAAAAAAAGCAAGCAGGCGTCATTTGGGGAGAATGAAGGGTTTACGGACAGTATGAAAGAATCATACCTCCTCAGGTCGTCCTGCAGGGTTGCATCCCCGCTGACCGCCTACCCCGACTGCCGTCCGTACTGCAGCCGACCAGTGGGGCCGGTCGACAGTCTGACGACCAGTCAGGGAAAAAAAAAAAAAAAAAGGTTTAAACTTTAAACAACCATCCACTGCTTTTTTTCCAAATCTGCATTGGGGCCTGCACTGCGCTTGCTGAGTACAGCCCAAATCGGCTGAGAAACTTTTGGGGATGGGGGGGCCATATGGGGGGGTTGGGGTTGGAGTATAGAG